CCCAATCATTTAGATAATCTATGCACGTTTGATAAAATGTGTACACAACATCATTGAATTTTTTGGCTTGTATATTTTCTGATTTTTCTAATGCTAAGACCACTTTTCTAATAACAATAGGAAGAAACCTCTCATTTTTTCTTTCAATTAACTTTAGCTTTAATTAACAAGTGTATCATCCACCAACTAGAGAGTTAAAAAAAACTATCACAAAAATTCCCATAAGAGTGTCCATCCCCTGGTACTGTCAGTGGGCCGTTTGGTTGGCGACACACTGCACTACTGCGCTCTATGTAGCAATGCAACACTGATCGTGATGGCGTACACAAAACTAACTTGTTCAATATATTATTAAAATTTTTTTTTTAAAACTTTGAGTCAACTTTACAAAATAAAGGACAAAATGCCTATTTTAGGAAATAAATAAAGTTAAAGGACAGAGCAGTGAAATAAAGGACTGTCCTCTTAAATAAAGGACGTATGGTCACTGTAACTATACCCTCTTCGCCCGGTTTGGGGTAGAGGAGAAGAGCCACTCCCCCCTGGGCCCTCCCTGTTTATTTTCCCGGTAATGGTCTTGGTAATTGTTTTCGTGGTCACACTTTGGTTGACATTTGTTTTAACAATATCAGCAAAGGTCTTTTGCATGCCAGTGCTATTGGTCTGAGTCTTCCCTCTGATCTCTTTAAGTATACCGACTATTTGGTGGAAACACCCATGTAGCTTCATAACGCTGTCTCTTATCTTGGCCCTTTGTTGGGTGTTGGGCCCCGATCTAAGAGATGGGGGACAAAGCTCCATCACCCTATCTACCAGGGTTGCCACTTCCTTAATAATGTGGCTTTCGATAGAAGGATCCATTGCTGGGGGCTACTACCCAGCAATTACCCAAGGATGACTCCTCCATAGGTCTAACAACCACCTGTGGAAGAGTACCCGAAGTGTTATCCATTAAAATTTGTGAACAAACATGTAAAGTAAAACTAATTCCTGAAGCCACTAAAAACGTTGAAACGACCGTTAGCAACGCTAGACAGTTAACGGTCCGCCGCGTTTGCTATGGTAACGTAAGTCCGTTAAATGGAGGAATGCTGCAAAATTCGCTGAATTTTTAACTTGCTATAATTTAAAAAGTATTATGATTACAATTCCCAATTTTTCATGAAAAGTTACTGAAGCAGTCCACTTCTGAATGATGGCAATTACGTTGACGGATGGAAGCCCTGGGGCCCGATGGAGCCCGCCGAAACCCGACGATAAAAAAGATAAAAATGGCGAAATAACGAAAACTACTGGTCCTAGGAACCCCAAAATTTCAGAATTACTCACAGTTAAAATGTCTACAAGGTCCAGTGAGAATTTCCGGTAAAACGATCTCTATCGTCCAGATATTTGGTTCCGAAAATCAGAAACTTCAAACATCCGTAACCTTCGAAATCCTTAGCTCACCTTTGCAATTTTGGTATCATCTTGGTCCTTACGAAATCCCGAATCGATCGATATAACAAACTTCACTATAATAGTTAAATCCAAGGAGAAACTGCGCAAAATCCAGGAGCCCAAATTAGCACAACCACACAGCTATAACTGTCACCATTTTCCTGAATTTGAACAAACTGGGACAAGAGGGGGAAGTAAAACTTTCAAGAAAAATGTAGATGTAATTACGGCCAGCCCCTTATGGGTAACATTTAGATAGTGGGTTTTTCAATATTTGAAATTCATTTGGGTTTATAAGTGTGAGAACCTGAGCTAAATAGAGAAAATTTACTTAATTTACTTAAATAACTAAGTATAAATTTTAACTCTCTGTGACCAGAGGATTGACACCTCTTCAATGCCACATCAGGAAGACACCATTGTATCCTGTTGATACAGTAGCTGTGACAGCAAGTTGTTTTGTTCAAAATTAGGTCATGAAAGTGGCCATGTGTGTAAGCAATTGGATTCTAGATGGAGGACTATGAGACAGCGTGATGGAAGTAATGCACTCAGATACTAGGTTTAACAAACAAATAATTGTTTATTTGAAAAGGAAGAAAAAAGGTACATGATATATTGTAATATGTTGAAATAACTGATCTATATACCATAGGTGGTTGTGAGAGAGAGAGAGAGAGTTTACAATAGAGCACATGGGGACAAATACCTTTTGTAGAGGAGTAGCGATCCGGTGTCTGCTGGTTGGGTTAGTAAGATGAAAGTTCTCGAAGATAGTTTGTAACTTGTAGATCCACTGTAGAAGATGTGGTTGCAGATGAGAGGAATGAAGTATCAGTAGCCAATGTATACAGTGATGATTAACGCAAAGGTCTCCGACAAGCCCACACAAATAATTGACCCGCTCAAGGAATAGGTGCCAACTGACTCAATTGATTATTAGTTGTCATCTTAAACAACAAAATCGGGACAGCAAGCCATGAGAAAGCGTCTTTTTCAATGCTGAGAATTTAAAGCATATACTCCCAGTTGTGAAATTTGACAGATATTCGACAAAGTTATTATTAATTTAAGAAGTTATGTTATTATTTAGTTATGTTGTTTAACTTGAAGTCTGGATTCTCACACTCAATCACAATAGCAGGAAGTGATTCCATTTTTCCATGGATTTGTTTCCTTGTCCAGAGATGACACATCTGACTGTGTCACTTTTGACTGTATCGGGAATATAACATCAAAAAATCGCTATTGGTTTAACTAACCTACATTACTAAACATGGACATAGAACTCAACAGGGGAAGACCCCAAATAAAAGGGAAGGAGCCCATCCATCATCATAGTGAGTCTGTTGTCATCAAGTGTTTGCTCCAATCTTGGATACACAAATCCTATTCTAGATCAATCTTTTCTTCTAAATATTTTAAAATTACTATTTGAAATGAATTTAAGCTGGAAATATTATATACCTACAAGCCAAATTAAATTTCAGCCAACAGAATAATGAAAATTATGGTAAAATCTTTGATTTATATAATTATTGCAAGAGCATCTATAAAGCTAGTTTTTTAATATTTTTTGTAAACTTTGCTATTTATAATTATTTTTATAAAATAATGTTAATATTAATTCTAATGAATCTACTTAATTAAATAATCTTTTAATAATATAAGAATTTTTACAGTTTATGTAGTTAGATATTAAATTTAACATAGCTTTCAGGATGAGGTAAGTTGAATTTCCATTCACTTGTTTTTGTATCATAAATAAGCAGTGCTAATGGAATAATTCAAGCTAATTTAATACAATATGAATACATTTGTTTAAACAATTTAACGAAACTTAAAAATTTCAATTAAAATTAGAATTATTCTATTATACGCTGTAATTTGGTTAAGTGGCTGTTCCATAATGACATTTCTATTATTGTGATGACTAACAAAAACTTCATTATTTAATGCATAAGCCCACTAGGTCTTCTACTGGCTTTAATACCCAGGTACAGTGCAGCATTTTAAATCCATATAGGGAAGATGAAATATTAACTTGATTGTCAGGACTGGAATTGCATGCATTGTTTGTTTATTGTTTTATGGTACAGATAACAATGTGTTTAATTTTGCAGAAATAAAATTTTTTTAAATACAAATTGATAATAATAATACAATTTTAATGGAATTTAAACTACATATATATATATAATGTATACTTAGGGCTTATATATACATATACATGTATATAAGTTATATAATATAGTAAACAAGATTTCCTCTTAAACATTTTAATTGTTACATGATTTATTTAACACAAAAAAGTTCATTCATATTTAATTGAATAAGTAACTGGACAATCAAATTATTTACCTGTTTTAATTTTTAAAATAATAATAACTTTCCATTTTGGAATTTTATGTTATTTTCAGTTGCTAATAGTGTATTACATTTTTCAGGCCAAATATGTTCAAAATGTTTGGTATAACTGTAACATTTGTGGCAACAAGAAGTGGTCTTTTGAGAGTATTAGAATATCTCAGTGAAGAAGAGCGAAGAAATAGTACTGAAAAGTAATTATTTTTAATATTTGCTTGAAAGTATACTAATTTATGTAATATCAATACAAATGACATTACATCCAAGGTATATTTTATTATCAAATACAAGATCTTCCCTACCTACAAGCAGGTTAGGTTTCTGAGATTTTATCATAAGTTGAAAAATAACCTAGAAATTACATTTGTGTACAGAATAACTACTTTTTGTTAGTATTTGATCCTTCAATATGCTTAACAGAATGCATTACACTCATTTACCCTCTCACTGCTGCTTAATAGTGGGCATTACAAATGCAATTTTTTTCACCTTATTCACAGTTTTATAAATTCCAGTTTAGTTTCCATGGTAATAATCGACATGTTTTGTATTTATCTCCAGATTTACTGCTAGATTTACTATTATGTTTTGGAGGAATTTTGAAGCATTAATTGTAATAGTTTATAAAAATTATAAACAATAGCAAGAAATGCCATTACTTTAACATTACCAATTTTTTTTGCCATCTCATAAGCAGCAATGAACCTCAGAATTTGTGCAAAAACAAAAAATGTTGACATGCAATAGAAATAAGTCCACATTAATTATTTATTAAAAATGTATTATACTACTGGACAAAGACTGACTTTGACGCCACTTCATGAGTGGCTAGAGAACTTTAGAATCCAATTTTTAGAATGCAAAATTTAAATTTTAGATGTACAATCGGTCATATTGTTCATAAGTTGAAAAAAGATTAAGATCATAATCAATGTTTCCTCCAAGCTGTGCATATGCACAGCTGAAATGCTTCTGCACCTGTGGATTTTGTTGCTGCACAGCATGTCTTTAATCATAACTGTTATTTTTGTTATGGTTGCCATTGAGTAAACAAACTTATATGAGTATTTTAGTGATTAAATGTGCAATTTAGTTTACAAATAGATTTAAGTATAAATGTGATTTATAATGTTGCTTTTGTTTGTTCTGATCATTACAGCCATTACATGCAAAAACTGATGAATTTAATAATGAAAAAATTAAAATATGTACTTTTATTATTAGTAAACACTATGTTGACTAACACGCCAAATTAATAAATAAACAAAAACAAAAACACTGAGTTCGGCGTTAAATGCGCATTTAACGCCGAACTCAGTGTTTTTGTTTTTGTTTATTTATTAATTTGGCGTGTTAGTCAACATAGTGTTTACTAATAATAAAAGTACATATTTTAATTTTTTCATTATTAAATTCATCAGTTTTTGCATGTAATGGCTGTAATGATCAGAACAAACAAAAGCAACATTATAAATCACATTTATACTTAAATCTATTTGTAAACTAAATTGCACATTTAATCACTAAAATACTCATATAAGTTTGTTTACTCAATGGCAACCATAACAAAAATAACAGTTATGATTAAAGACATGCTGTGCAGCAACAAAATCCACAGGTGCAGAAGCATTTCAGCTGTGCATATGCACAGCTTGGAGGAAACATTGATTATGATCTTAATCTTTTTTCAACTTATGAACAATATGACCGATTGTACATCTAAAATTTAAATTTTGCATTCTAAAAATTGGATTCTAAAGTTCTCTAGCCACTCATGAAGTGGCGTCAAAGTCAGTCTTTGTCCAGTAGTATAATACATTTTTAATAAATAATTAATGTGGACTTATTTCTATTGCATGTCAACATTTTTTGTTTTTGCACAAATTCTGAGGTTCATTGCTGCTTATGAGATGGCAAAAAAAATTGGTAATGTTAAAGTAATGGCATTTCTTGCTATTGTTTATAATTTTTATAAACTATTACAATTAATGCTTCAAAATTCCTCCAAAACATAATAGTAAATCTAGCAGTAAATCTGGAGATAAATACAAAACATGTCGATTATTACCATGGAAACTAAACTGGAATTTATAAAACTGTGAATAAGGTGAAAAAAATTGCATTTGTAATGCCCACTATTAAGCAGCAGTGAGAGGGTAAATGAGTGTAATGCATTCTGTTAAGCATATTGAAGGATCAAATACTAACAAAAAGTAGTTATTCTGTACACAAATGTAATTTCTAGGTTATTTTTCAACTTATGATAAAATCTCAGAAACCTAACCTGCTTGTAGGTAGGGAAGATCTTGTATTTGATAATAAAATATACCTTGGATGTAATGTCATTTGTATTGATATTACATAAATTAGTATACTTTCAAGCAAATATTAAAAATAATTACTTTTCAGTACTATTTCTTCGCTCTTCTTCACTGAGATATTCTAATACTCTCAAAAGACCACTTCTTGTTGCCACAAATGTTACAGTTATACCAAACATTTTGAACATATTTGGCCTGAAAAATGTAATACACTATTAGCAACTGAAAATAACATAAAATTCCAAAATGGAAAGTTATTATTATTTTAAAAATTAAAACAGGTAAATAATTTGATTGTCCAGTTACTTATTCAATTAAATATGAATGAACTTTTTTGTGTTAAATAAATCATGTAACAATTAAAATGTTTAAGAGGAAATCTTGTTTACTATATTATATAACTTATATACATGTATATGTATATATAAGCCCTAAGTATACATTATATATATATATGTAGTTTAAATTCCATTAAAATTGTATTATTATTATCAATTTGTATTTAAAAAAATTTTATTTCTGCAAAATTAAACACATTGTTATCTGTACCATAAAACAATAAACAAACAATGCATGCAATTCCAGTCCTGACAATCAAGTTAATATTTCATCTTCCCTATATGGATTTAAAATGCTGCACTGTACCTGGGTATTAAAGCCAGTAGAAGACCTAGTGGGCTTATGCATTAAATAATGAAGTTTTTGTTAGTCATCACAATAATAGAAATGTCATTATGGAACAGCCACTTAACCAAATTACAGCGTATAATAGAATAATTCTAATTTTAATTGAAATTTTTAAGTTTCGTTAAATTGTTTAAACAAATGTATTCATATTGTATTAAATTAGCTTGAATTATTCCATTAGCACTGCTTATTTATGATACAAAAACAAGTGAATGGAAATTCAACTTACCTCATCCTGAAAGCTATGTTAAATTTAATATCTAACTACATAAACTGTAAAAATTCTTATATTATTAAAAGATTATTTAATTAAGTAGATTCATTAGAATTAATATTAACATTATTTTATAAAAATAATTATAAATAGCAAAGTTTACAAAAAATATTAAAAAACTAGCTTTATAGATGCTCTTGCAATAATTATATAAATCAAAGATTTTACCATAATTTTCATTATTCTGTTGGCTGAAATTTAATTTGGCTTGTAGGTATATAATATTTCCAGCTTAAATTCATTTCAAATAGTAATTTTAAAATATTTAGAAGAAAAGATTGATCTAGAATAGGATTTGTGTATCCAAGATTGGAGCAAACACTTGATGACAACAGACTCACTATGATGATGGATGGGCTCCTTCCCTTTTATTTGGGGTCTTCCCCTGTTGAGTTCTATGTCCATGTTTAGTAATGTAGGTTAGTTAAACCAATAGCGATTTTTTGATGTTATATTCCCGATACAGTCAAAAGTGACACAGTCAGATGTGTCATCTCTGGACAAGGAAACAAATCCATGGAAAAATGGAATCACTTCCTGCTATTGTGATTGAGTGTGAGAATCCAGACTTCAAGTTAAACAACATAACTAAATAATAACATAACTTCTTAAATTAATAATAACTTTGTCGAATATCTGTCAAATTTCACAACTGGGAGTATATGCTTTAAATTCTCAGCATTGAAAAAGACGCTTTCTCATGGCTTGCTGTCCCGATTTTGTTGTTTAAGATGACAACTAATAATCAATTGAGTCAGTTGGCACCTATTCCTTGAGCGGGTCAATTATTTGTGTGGGCTTGTCGGAGACCTTTGCGTTAATCATCACTGTATACATTGGCTACTGATACTTCATTCCTCTCATCTGCAACCACATCTTCTACAGTGGATCTACAAGTTACAAACTATCTTCGAGAACTTTCATCTTACTAACCCAACCAGCAGACACCGGATCGCTACTCCTCTACAAAAGGTATTTGTCCCCATGTGCTCTATTGTAAACTCTCTCTCTCTCTCTCACAACCACCTATGGTATATAGATCAGTTATTTCAACATATTACAATATATCATGTACCTTTTTTCTTCCTTTTCAAATAAACAATTATTTGTTTGTTAAACCTAGTATCTGAGTGCATTACTTCCATCACGCTGTCTCATAGTCCTCCATCTAGAATCCAATTGCTTACACACATGGCCACTTTCATGACCTAATTTTGAACAAAACAACTTGCTGTCACAGCTACTGTATCAACAGGATACAATGGTGTCTTCCTGATGTGGCATTGAAGAGGTGTCAATCCTCTGGTCACAGAGAGTTAAAATTTATACTTAGTTATTTAAGTAAATTAAGTAAATTTTCTCTATTTAGCTCAGGTTCTCACACTTATAAACCCAAATGAATTTCAAATATTGAAAAACCCACTATCTAAATGTTACCCATAAGGGGCTGGCCGTAATTACATCTACATTTTTCTTGAAAGTTTTACTTCCCCCTCTTGTCCCAGTTTGTTCAAATTCAGGAAAATGGTGACAGTTATAGCTGTGTGGTTGTGCTAATTTGGGCTCCTGGATTTTGCGCAGTTTCTCCTTGGATTTAACTATTATAGTGAAGTTTGTTATATCGATCGATTCGGGATTTCGTAAGGACCAAGATGATACCAAAATTGCAAAGGTGAGCTAAGGATTTCGAAGGTTACGGATGTTTGAAGTTTCTGATTTTCGGAACCAAATATCTGGACGATAGAGATCGTTTTACCGGAAATTCTCACTGGACCTTGTAGACATTTTAACTGTGAGTAATTCTGAAATTTTGGGGTTCCTAGGACCAGTAGTTTTCGTTATTTCGCCATTTTTATCTTTTTTATCATCGGGTTTCGGCGGGCTCCATCGGGTCCCAGGGTTTCCATCCGTCAACGTAATTGCCATCATTCGGAAGTGGACTGCTTCAGTAACTTTTTTTGAAAAATTGGAAATTCTAATCATAATACTTTTTAAACTATAGCAAGTTAAATATTCAGCGAATTTTGCAGCATTCCTCCATTTAACGGACTTACGTTACCATATCAAACACCGCGCGGACCGTTAACTGTCTAGGCGTGGCTAACGGTCGTTTCAACGTTTTAGTGGCTTCAGGAATTAGTTTTACTTTACGCATTTGTACACAAATTTTAATGGATAACACTTCGGGTACTCTTCCACAGCTGCTTGTTAGACCTATGGAGGAGTCATCCTTGGATAGTTCTTTGCCCCCAGCAACGGATCCTTCTATCGAAAGCCGCATTATTAAGGAAGCAGCAACCCTGGTAAATAGGGTAATGGAGCTTTGTCCCCCATCTCTTAGATCGGGGCCAAACACCCAACAAAGGGCCAAGATAAGAGACAGCGTAATGAAGCTACATGGGTGTTTCCACCAAATAGTCGGTATACTTAAAGATATCAGAGGGAAGACTCAGACCAATAGCACTGGCATGCAAAAGACTTTTGCTGATATTGTTAAAACAAATGTCAACCAAAGTGTGACCACGAAAACAATTACCAAGACCATTACCGGAAAAATAAACAGG